CCAAGTCTCATCCGACGATCCTATTGAGGATCGCGGGCGTTACAAGTCTCCCCGCCCCCTTGAATGGGATTCGTCCCCGAATCCGACACAAGTTGATCTTTACCTATCTCTTTAAACCACTTAGGAAAATCAGCCTTCATTTTATTCTCGGTTTCCCTAGTAGTTTATTTGCGGTCACCATAATTCCATAATACCTTTATCATGTTAATCCTTTTCCACCTTGTTCCCTTCTTCATTCGATCAACGATCCGAATTGGGTTTGCTTCCACCGTTAAGTTCTCTTTTAATTCTGAAGGAACATCTTCTACTCGCTCCTCGTGTTCACTTAGGAATTTCCTTAATTGTGAAACATGGAAAACCTTGTGAAACGCATCTAACTTCGGCGGAAGTTTGAGTTTATACGCCACAGCCCCCACTCGTTCGATCACCTTGTATGGGCCAACATACCTCGGATTCAACTTTTTCCTTGTTTAGAATCATCCTTTCCCTTTATACGTTACGGCCTTAAGATACACCAAGTCTCCTACTTGGAATTCTAACTCCTTACAACGCTTATCCGCATAGCTTTTCTGCCGGTCTTGGGCTTCCTTTAGTTTGATCTTTAGGAACTTCATTTTTTCGGTGGTTTCATCCATAATCTTTGGACCGAACAACATGCATTCGCCCACCGGTGTCCAACATAGCGGTGTCCTACATGCTCGGCCGTACAACGCCTCGTAAGGTGACATGCCAATACTAGCTTGATAGCTATTGTTATAGGCAAACTCCACCAACCTTAAGTACTTCTCCCAATTCCCATCCCAATCCAAGACACATGCACGCAACATGTCCTCAAGGGTTTGAATTGTTTGTTCGGATTGCCCATCTGTTTGCGGGTGGTATATCCTACTTAGGTTCACCCTCGTTCCTAAGGCTTTTTGAAAAGCCTTCCAGAAATGCGATGTGAACCATGTATCACGATCCGATACAATGCTTACTGGTACTCCATGTAATCGGACTATCTCGTCGATATACCTTGCGGCTATATCTTCGGCTCCATCCGTTTCGGAGATTGCTATGAAGTGTGCGGATTTAGTCAATCTATCTACCACTACCCAAACCGCATTATGCTTAGACTTTATCCCCGTAGGCAACCCGGTAACAAAGTCCATCGTTACGTGGTCCCATTTCCATTCGGGCATAGGTAAGCTTTGTACTAACCCACTTGGTACTTGATGTTCAAATTATTCTCTTGCTCTTTCAATTTACTTTTGCAAAACTGAAAAATAATATATGTGGGACAATCGAAATTATAAATAGGAATTATCAAAATATCCTCCAAAATTCTTTTAATTTTCAATATTCCATATAGGTTGAAAAAAATTGAATAAATATATATATTATTACATGTTTAACAACAACTCTAGTTTCGATTGTTTTCTGCTTTCGTTTCTCTTGGTGTTGGTATTGGTTTAACTATGGATTGCTATTGGTTTTTCTGGTTTTAGTGGGTGCTATCCGGCTTTCACAAGTTCTACAAGAAGGCTTACTGGATCCTCTTAACATTAATTGGACATTTTTAAAGCATTGGTCCTTGCTTGTTCTTTACCTTGTTTTTCTTTTGGTCGATCCTTGGACTTGGTTCTTTGCTAGTCTTTGTCTCCTAAAGTTTGTTACTTGTGGGCTTGTGTTTTCTTTGTTTGGGCTTTAGCCTCTTGTGATATCTTCGTTTTCACCACTTTGTATTATGGTTCTAATGAAATTTCAGATGGAAAAATATAGAAAGAGTAACAACAACACATTAGCATAATAAGATTTGGAGTACTTGTATTTATCAGTAGGTTGAAAAGGGAATCTGAGACCTGAGATGGTTAATGGTTCGATTGAGAGTTCTAAGAGCTTCAACATGAGGCTCTTCTTCTTGGATTGGTATGATTCTCACAAAACTTCTTTCTCCCACGTAATCTACCACTCTGTTTGCTGCCTCTAACCCCATCACGTACGCTTTCTCCTGTGAGCATGACCCATGTCGGTTTATGACTCCCAGAACATGTTAGGGACAGACGTTGAGCCTCGTATCATGTGCTTGTATGACCCTGGGAATAAATACGAGAGGGATTGAGGGAATCTTTGTACATCTGCCTCCATTACAACTGCTTTCTTTAAATCTTTGACGCATTTTGACATGTTCTTGATGGCTTTATCTACTATCATTTCATCTGTTGTTCCTATTAGCTCGTTCATGTTGTACTGTTTTAACATTCAAACTGGTAAGTAAACTCTTCATCCACCATCATTCGCAAAAAAAAAAACTAAAACAAAAGAGAAAAGAGTTAACTAACACTTACGAAATCAGTTCTAACCACAGTCTGTTCTTCTTCCTTGTACGCGTCGTAAATGGAGTTTAGGTCAAAGAAAGTCCATCTGTATGAGTCTTCCAAGACTGAACATGCGTTTGAAGCATGCGGAATAGTGACCTAGTGTGTGCTTCTGGATCATATTCAAGCATATATATATTCATGAGGAACTTATTTACCAAACAACATACCTTTCTATCAAGCTTGAGCTTCACATAGACGACATCTACAGCTCTCAGATTCAAGACTCTTAGGAACTCCTCTCGCTTACACAATGCTGCACTAAACAAGGCTAAACCCAAAGAATCAGTCTCACAACACAACAAACAGATGAAGACAGAGCTAGGTAGGACTTTAAAAACGTTTGACCTCTTCTTGATGATTTCTTGGATCGTGGAGATTCTTCCAGCTAAAAGACGGCATCAGCCTCGTACTTATCTCGGCCGCAGATAACTTGAGTGACATAACCAGAGTCGTCATCGCTGAGGATGAAGTCAGTCACAGACTTATCTCTGAGGAATTTGCACCCTCTTTCTTCCAAAGAGTCAGTCCAGGGATTGAAGATCATCTCCCTCACCGTCCCTCGGGACCACACCATGTCAAAGTCTTTCTGATGAGAGAGGATGAGGTAATAGAAGAGCGCAAGCATAGCAGCCGTGTTGCACTGCTCAGGTGGAGCAAACAAACCCACCTGAAGCAATTGCCTTAGGATATTCCGGTACAGACTCTCTGAGCATCCAAACTGCTTAAACAATTCCCTTGCAGTCACTATGCAAATTAAAAAAAAAACTTACATCATTATAGCTGAAGTTTTAAAATGAAACAGAGTCATCACAACCGAACCTTTCAAATGAAACAAAGGTGGAACCCTTTTTTGTTTCTGGAAGTATCGGTTTATATATTAAAATGGAGCAAATTACACATATGTGATACTGCACATGAAGCAACATGGCTTAGGTTGAGCAATTACACTAAACTAAAACAAATCATAAGATAACTGATAGAACTATTATTGAGCAATATGAGAGCTAGTAGAGGAAAGACTCATGGGTATGATTTGCAAGAGTTAGGACTCTGCATGCGCACCTGAATCATACTTCCTCCAAGCTGCATCCGTGTTATCATAATCGATAACTACATAATGAAGAAGACTCCTGAGATTGGTTAGCTTGGCAAGATCAGTAAGATTAAGGAGAATTTATTCTTATTACAACCAGGCCCGGCCCGCCACCCATTTCTAAGAAACATGGGTATTGGGTCTCCATAAAATTTAAGCTTTTTAGTATCAAATTTAGGCCTCAAAAATATTTGTTATTGCAAATAATAGGCCTCATTTTTTTGAAATTTTCAGATTTAGTCTCAATTGTTAAATTTTATCTATTTGTTTTTGCAAAAGTAGGCCCCAATTTCTTAAAATTTTAAGATTTGGTCTCAAGATTTAATTTCTTCTAAAAAAACCATCAAAAATAAATTGTTTTGTATTGGGCCTCAAAGTTCACAGGCCCGGTACTGATTACAACTTGCCTGCAGCCATTAGAGGAAGGAGAGATATCTTGTCTGCTAAGGAGAGCCGAGAAAACTGCGGAATTAACAATGGTAATAAATGGGCTCATGAAGAATATTTGAGAGACATGGGAAATATTTGACTTACTTGAGAATAGTATAGAGTTCCTAGAGGAGTTGGCACCTGAGGAAGCTCTTGAAATACAGGAAACTCAACCTTAAACACATAAACATTTTTATCCTTATAGGTTTCTTGCTTCATAAGAAACAAAGAGGAAATGGATGAATACATGTAAATCTTCTCCAAGATACTGAGCAGATCTTGTCCAGGTTGTGAAGGGTTTGAGTCCAAGTTGATCAACCAAGGAAAATACGTTTCGATTCGGATACCAGAACCCTTATTGCACACATCATATGTATCAATCGTATGAACGTAAAAATAAAAGGTTATTAAATGTGTACCTTGGATGCCAACATCATCAAGACCATGGCCCTCGTCAAGAACTGTGACATCAAAGCCCAACAAAATCTCTTAAGTAAATACTAAATGAGCAAATGAAGTTGGAGATGAGAATAACAAAGTAAAAGTGACCTGGTTACAAAGATGATGAGCGGGCACCAAGACCAGCCCAGCTAGAACCCACGACAACAACCTTCTTCTTATTATTTGAGGCGGCTCCTCCATCGCCTTGGGCTCTGCTACATAGTTTTCTCCGACGCACGGGACCTAGTACTAGTATTGGATTCAGGATCCCACACCACAACATCTTTACTAGCTCACAATCTTTCTTCTTCGGTGTGTCCCTGTGTTTTTGAACTTGTGGGTGTATATGTAAATGATGTGTGTTGTAGTAATGCCACGGCCAAAAACATAGACATCATAAACCAAATTTTGTATCTATTTTTTTTCCCCTAAAATATGTTAGCATTCATTCTTCTAAATTATGCATATTTTCTCTAATACAGTATGCTTATTTTTCAATATTACTCATAGTTGAATAACACTTTTCTCACAAACAATAATAGAAAGAGAAAGATATGGACGACAAAATAAATGACATGCCAAAATCAAAATAAATATTATCCTCCCATTTGACATACTTATCACCAAATATCAAATTATCAAAGATTAAAAACAAAGATTGAAATTATTTAGGTAAGTACAAAAAAAATGCCGATTTCTTTTGCTTCCACGCTTCTAATTGTGTATTGGACCCAAATTTATGTGTTTTGACACAAGATAATCGTTAGTATAGGTCCATCTACCGTCCGCCGTTTCAATCTGACCGCTATCGTACAAGCCGTACAATATATACTCAATCTAACGGTGGAAATAGAAAGATCATAAATCCCTCAAATCTAACAGTTACCTCAAGTTTTTTTTTTTTTTTTTTTCTCTTCTCTGGTGGAGACGAACAACAACAGAAGAAAGAAATGGCAACCGCAGCTCTCTCCGCCGCCCGACCCAACCGCCTTAGCTCAGCCTCCTCCGATGTTCCTCTCCACTCGCTTTATCTCCCTACCAAGCTCCAATTTCCTTCCCGGAAGACTCAGCTGTGGCGCTCCGCCGCGATTCTCTTACCCACACGGCGGCGATGCGCTGCGCCTAGAGCTAGTTCTCGCGCCGACGATTCTCCGCCGTTTGATATGTCTGTGGAGACTGCGCTTAAGGTTCTCGGTGTCTCTGAAGGAGCTTCCTTCGACGAAATTCTTCGCGCCAAGAAATCGATCCTTGCTTCTCGTAAGGACGACCCCAACGCCATCTCTCAGGTGACTGTTTTCAATTTTCTAGGGTTTCTTTCACTCTCGAATCATTGTCCAATATTTCTCAATTTCAGCTTTCAGTGTCAACAAATTCGCTAATTTCTAAATTTGGTTAGTTTTTTCCATTACTAGTATTGGAGTTTATCTTCGACTTCAGATGTATCTCTCTCCGATTTTAGTATTGCTAGGAACCATCACTAAAAACTCCATGAATCATGGAAATAGATAGTTTCTTGTTCTTGAGCCTCACTGTAATTTTGTCCCTTTCTCTCAGGCTGAGGCTGCATATGACATGCTACTGATGCAGAGCCTTAACCAACGCCGAGCAGGAAAAGTTGTAAGCAACAACATTCGCTACGCTGATGTTAAATCTAGTAACCCTTTGGGAACAAGTGCTGTGTCTCAGTGGCTGAAGAATCCACCTGTCTCTGTTGATATGCCATCCACGAGCGATCTGGGAATACAAGCTGGAGTCTATGGAGCCATGATGGTTTTGACTTACGTGAACGGGAGTTCCTTAGAGTCTTCTGGGATGCCTTACGCTGGTGCTGATGTGCCCGGACTTATACTGGCTAGCAGCTTTGGAGCTTCCCTATACTTTATGACCAGAAAGAATGTCAAGCTAGGTAAATGATAACTTCCATCTTCTTCTGAGCTCACCACAAGCGGAAACCTCTGATGTTGTTATGTGTTTTGGTACAGGGAAAGCAGCTGCGTTAACAGCAGGAGGATTAGTGGCAGGTGCAGTGGTGGGGTCGGCCATTGAGACCTGGCTGCATGTTGATGTGGTCCCGTTTCTAGGTCTCCACTCCCCAGCTGCAGTCGTTAGTGAATTCATAGTCTTCTCTCAGTTCTTGGTGTCTCTATGCTTACGGTAGAACTTTGTACATTGGCTTCTGCAAATTTGGCTCAACTTGTCACGCTGGTATATGTACTCCGTTTATATGCATTTTGTACAGAACAATCAAAGTAAACAACTCCTAGACATCAGTCTTCATGCTCATAATGTATTTCTTGGAACTTTGAAGTTTCTGTTGCCTAAACCAAATCAAAGAACTAGCATGTGCAGGCTCACACACAGTTAACCAATACAGCTACCTACATATATATACTAGTTATGAATTTTGGAACAAATATGGCTGCCGTAAAATTGAATTAGGAGCCATGGGTAGTTTCTGTTGGCAAGGTACCAGAGTGTTGTGTGGTGGCACCAGACCCTCTCACTGACCAAAAGGCCCTCTGACTCAGCTCTTGGAAGTGGCGGCAGGCCCCTTGGTCAATCTTCTTCAGATCAAAGTAGACCCCTTGTCCCAACCGCTTCGCACTTCCCTGCACTCCATTTAACAACCTAGTTGTGTATTACTGTATTACATTCTCTTGTTGTGTCCATTTGCACTCACTCTAGAAATGGTAATAAGAGTTTATTCCCCAGGCTCGCACACAGTTAACCATTTAAGAAAATAACGAGCATTTTTATTGTATATCCTGACATTGAATTTTCCCACCATATCTTGTATCATTTACAGTTTATGAAGATATGAAAGGTAGTGGTCTTTACGGGTTTGAATGACGATGAAAACTACCTAATTATTGGGTAAGTGCTCAGGCGATCGGAAAGCGTCCTGTTCACCACTCCAGGAACGAAATTCGAAACAGGTTGAGAGGAACTTATCGAGTAAAAAAGGTAACATGTGAAGCAACAAGTCATCTTACAGAAATTTCTGAGTTGATATTAACAACATATGATGATAAAGAAATGCGACTTCATCAATGCTCCGTAAAACACAAATTTGAGGTACAAAAAGCAACTAATAAGAGAGGGTCAGTTCAAACCGTACGATCCAACAATGTTGCTTACAGTTTGTGCAAAGGTTCTTGAGGTTATCTTTTTGCCAGGGACATGGAAAGGGTTTGAGACTGCATCAACGTAGGCAGCATGGAACTTCCTGAAGAACTGTACAAAACACACAAAGAATGAAACTCTTCTTCATAGATTTGGTGCTAAGAAGAACTCACAAACACAAGTAGAAAAGAACAAACTGTAACTTTGGTAAGTAACTATAGAACTGGTAAGTGGATAGAGAAAGAAAATGCCAAATTACGTAGGCTATGAGCTGATGAAAAATGCTTACACTTCTCACATCGGTGTCTCTAACATCCAAATCAGTAGTGACCAATATAAATTTAACTTTGGTATTAGTCAAGTAACCATAGCTGCAGAATAAGAAGAAGAAGCCATTAAAAGAGTATCCCCAACAACACAAAATCATCAAAGAGAGTGAAGGAATGTGCTTACACTTTGTAGTTCACAGTAGGATAGAGCAGGCCAAGAAAAGCCTCGTTCAGAGTTGTACCAGACTTTTTTGGATTGTTCACTGAATACAACAGAGACAAAACCACATAATCAGATAAATAAATGCAGAGCAAAAACCAAAATCCTCAGAATTTGAAAGATTGGATTGGATAAAAAGGACCTCGCTCTTCGATGACATCGAGAGAGCAATGAACGATGTGGTGGAGCTTGAGAGCATCGTCAGCTTCCGTGAAGCTTTGTATGTAAAGCGGATTGTTCTGGTATTTGAATCCATGGGAAATTCAAGTCAGAAACTGTAAAAGACCCAATGAAATCAGATCACAACATAAATCGGAATGCAGACCTGGTGGCCGACGACGGCGACGCAAACGATCATCTTCTCTCCTTTGCAGATCTCGAAATTGAAAAAGTTCCGACGATCACTTCAGATTCCGAAAACAGTCAAGAGTCATCTTTTTATGGGCTGGGCTTTATTATCAATAACTATTGGGCTTTTTTTAAGTCATCATCATCATGTACTAACTTTGATATTTTCCAACTGATCCCCGAATTCCTTGTTTCTTTACAAGGACATCCACTAATTTCCCATTTTCTTTACAAGATGTCCCCAACAAGACACAAACAATTGGTGAAGAAAATACATCAAGTTGCTTTCATAGGAGTCAAAATGTAAGACAAAAAAAATTGGCAATCTTAGCATTTTTCTCCTTATATGTTTCTGTCTGCAAATCCCAAATACAGAGACATCTTGTGAAGAAGAATCATGGAGACTGATAATTTAAAATTCTAAATTAAGAGATGATCAACACTATAATCTCAAATATCTCTAACATAATATCTCATTCTCTTCCTATCAAGAAGCATTACATTCGAAATTACGAACAAACAAAAACGAACGGAACCGATACAAATGGTGAAAACATAGACAGGACCCAAATGTGAATTCTAGAGAGAAAAGAGTCATTGGCCGGTTTTGAGGATCTTCCTCTGCCTAAGGAATCTAGCGATTGGAGGAGTCAACGCCATCGTGATCGGAACTCTGATCGGAAACAGCGCCTTATTGCACAAAACCGCCAACGCTAGGGCTCCGCCGGCTGATTTCGCAAGCTGTTTCGTCTTGTTATCGCTCGTACCCGAACCTTCCTCTTCAATCTTCAAATTGAGGCTAGGGTTAGGGTTTTCCTTGTTGGAGAACCAAGGGATTTGGTACTTCTCCAAGAGCGATTCGACATCCACGTTGTTCTTGATCGCGATGTAAAATCCACTAATTGAGACGCCGGAGACCGAGAAATGGACTCCAAGCGCGACTTTTCCGTACTTCTTCACAATCTCCTTGAGCCGAGTCGCCATCGAAATCGGAGATTTACGGAATCTTCCAGAAGCGAAAGCCGACGCACACCAGAAAATGATTTGATTCACCTTAGGGTTTATCTTTAATTAAACCCCTCTTGGGCCTCTTTTGGCCCATTTTAAAGCCCGTTAGCATTTTTAGAAAAACAATAGATGTCAACAATTGCGTCTATAAATTGATTACTACTACTTGGAAAATAAGGTTGGTAAATTCGTTATGACGTTTTTTGGTCGTGTATGTTTATTTTTCTTTCATATTTTTCAAAGAATGGTTGCCAGAATTGACTGAGTCAGTGTAAGTGGATAGAAGCACCCATCATCAATCAATTATACAAAATGACACAAATTTAATATTTGTCGTGATTGTCATTGTCAGGTTATTAACTTACCTGACCACACCATGTAGTTTCTAGCATAATAATATAACAGTAGTTCTGTCTTCTCTTGATCTCCTCAGACGGCAGTTCATAACAAAACTCCTAATTTAAAATTTGTTAATTGGATTCCAGGTACTTTTATATATATATATACACACATATGATTCTGTTATACATTGGAGTGTGACTGATCGAATTTTCCGGTTTACACGCAGGTTTGCATACCGATCCCGGGATGGATTTCTTCCATTCAAGAGAGAAGAGACATGGCAAAAGAGCAGGTCAGTTCTACTTGTTGTTATATGACGATGACAAATAGAAAACTTGTTTAGGTTAGATGGTGGCTAAATTGAACTGGTGTCTACAGGATTGTTTGGTCACAAAAGTGCGAGCAAGAGCAACCCGTCCAGCCCTCCTCATCTTGCTGAGGCTCGGTCTCTGCCGACAACTCATTTCGGTATGAAAAGATCAGAATCAGAGCACGCGTTTCCCATATCCGATGAACAAACCACTCACTGGAAACAACAGCGAGCCTCTGAACGCATTCCAAATTCCCACCAACGGCCTCCAGTCTACCGATATAGCACGGTACTCTCGATTCTTTGTGATAAGAGTTAGAGTTTCTTTCACATCCCATGGTTTTGATTCTGTGTTCCAAACGCCAGCCCGAGCGTCCTAGAGAGCCTGATGAGGATGTGACCCCAAGGAGCAATGGTTCTGGGAGCCCTTTTCGATCTGCCAGAACCCGCACAGTAATCACTCACTTCTTTTTTTTTTTTTACAAGCTGCTGATTCAGAATTCGTAACAAAGCTTGGTCTGTGGCTGCAGCCTGATCGCCGTAGGAGGTCTAGCGAGTTAAGCAAAGAGCTGTACGAGAGAATGTATGAGGCAGAGGCCAATGTGAGCCCATTTCACCCCTCTAGAAGCCGCTCTCCAGCTCCCTACAACACCGTACTAATCCTCCTCAATTTTGGTTTACATACTTGTCATTTAGTCTTTATCCTCGACCAAAAACCAAATCTCTTGTGATCGCAGCATGACCGTGGAAGAGACTACAGTAGAGAAAGATATGAAGCTAAGGACAATGTAACTTCGCGGAACAGCGCTCCGTCGAGCCCATTTCATCCATCCAGAAGCCGCTCTCCACCGCAACACGCAAGGGTTGGTGGATTCAATCATTCTCTGATTTGACACCTCTGTTAATCACTCATTCTCTGATTTTTCTCAACTTAGTTGCAGACTCAGAGATACAACAACGGAAAAGATCATTTCGAGGGGATGTACGAGGCAGATGCCGATATCACACCGCGTAACAGCCCTCCCATGAGTCCTGTTCATCATACCACGAGATACTCTCCACCACCGCCGTTCTACTCATCCAGCGACGACGAAGACGACAATAATTCAACCTATCTTTTTCCAGAAATTGCAACAGGACGTCGTTCCAGGGGAGTCTCAGGGAGCAGCACGGTTCGTTCTTTCTCTCTAATTACCAAAGTGTGAAGAAATGCTTACATCCAAAATGCTTTCGTTTGTGCAGCCGGTTCACTACAAGTATCAGATCACATCGGTAGAGACTTACGAGCAAGACAGGCAATTCGAGCCGCCGGAGTTGCCGGACGAGTCTGAGAGCTTCACGATGCACGAGATCGCCAAAATGCGCGGACTTCAAAGCTACAACAAGGAAGAGATACAGTTGGCGATATCCGAGACTTACGTCTCCGTCGCCAATTACAAGGTGCGGATGAGCGTCGCCGCCACGCTCGAGGCGATTATTGACAAACACGGTGACATCGCCGCCTCGTCGAAGTTGCAATCTACCTCAACGAGGTCGTTTTATCTCGAATCCCTAGCCGCGGCAATGATGGAACTGAAATCGACGGCGTTGAGAGATCTGACGAAGACGCGGGTGGCGGAGATCGCAGCGGTCGTGAAAGACATGGATTCGGTGAGAATCGACGTATCGTGGCTCAAAACAGCCGTCACGGAGCTAGCGGAGGCGGTGGAGTACTACGGGAAGTACGACACGGCGAAAATCGTGAGAGAGGAGTGCGATAGGGAAATGACGGAGGGGAAAGAAGAGATGGAGGAGCTAAGGGAGGAGCTGCGGCGGAGAGAGAAGGAAACGAAGGAATGTAGAGAGAGAGTGACGGCGATGGCGGGAAGACTGGGGCAGCTGGAGATGAAGGAAGTGAGAGTAAAGAAGAATCTGAAGCTGTGTGAGAGCAAGGTCCTTAAATTCGACGGTCATTCTGTTCTTGTTGACTGAACCGACCTCTTTCACTTCTGTTTAGTGGAGTAAACCAACCAAAGAATGAGAAATTGATTTCTTTTCCCCACCCATAACTATTCGGATCTAACCTGAAATTGATTTCTCTTTCTCTACTTTGAAATCGTTCTCTTCGACTTTTCCTCATGAACGTTTATCAGCTTCAATTCTCTTAAATTCAAAAGAGAAGTTACGATTTCTCCATCTTTAATTGGTAAAACTAGGTAGAATTCAAGATTTTGACTGTGAAAAATTGTTGATTTCTCTTGATAATGGTTAAGACAAGGTGGTCAAAAAAGAGGAAGAGAGGAGAAGAGGGTTCGGGAAACCCTAATGTTGAGGAGAAAGATGGATAAAGTTTGCGGAACCCTCCAGATTCGAACAATGTTGACGAGGAGGTAGAAATAGAAAAAGATAGAGATAAATAGTTATCTCCAGTTGTTGAGAATAATGAAGAATAAGGGAATGAAGACGATGAAGAAGAAGGGAATGAAGTAGAAGAGAAAGAAGATGAAGAGAGTGAAGACGAAGAGAATGAAGATGAAGGAGAGAGTAGCCGAACCTTGCGTGATTCCATTGAAGAGAGATCCGAAGAGATATCAAACGAAAATCGCGTGGAGATGGTAAGTAGTTGGGTTCGAAATGTGAATTTTGGATTTTAAGTAATAATGGTTGAATAATACATTTGTGATTTCTGAGTAATACTGGTAGAATTGAGAAATAATATTTTGACATCTGGGTAACACTAGTAGAACTAGAGAATACTATTGTGATGCCTAGGTAAAACTGATAATACTACGGTATAACAAACATTTAGTAATACTGAATAATACTATTGTATAATTGTGTTCAATTGCATGAGTCTGCTGACCCACTAGCTGGTCTTTCAGACCCACCAGCTGGTCCTTAGGATCCACTTGCCAAGGATGATAATGGTGGTTTATGTGCGATAGGCAAGGAAGAACCAACTCGGAAAGAAGTCCAACCCAATTAGATTTGGCTTCTTGTGTTTGGTATGGATATTGTAAGTTTATGCATACTTTCTAGGGGTCGATTAGGTTTTTAAATGGATAGCAAATGGATTTTAGCAACTAAATCATAGTGAATTATAGTTTTGAACCCGAAACCATTCAAGTTGAGTTCTTCTCGCGATAGTAGAACTGGTCAAACTGGGTAGAAATGAATCTGAAACTATTGAAACATATATATATATATATATATATATATATATATGTTTCACTAGTATTATATATATATATATATATATATATATAGTATGACTAGTTACACTAGTATGACCCAAATATATGTAGTATGACTAGTTACACTAGTATTACCCAGATCTATGTAGTATGACTAGTTAAACTAGTATTACCCAGATATATGTAGTATGACTAGTTACACTAGTATTACTACAAATGTAGTAGAACTAGTAAAACCAGTATTACTGACAGAGTTTTTGTACTGTTTTGGCAGGATACAATGAGGGAGAACGTGTTCATATATTTCAAATGCCAAGGTCGCATGTATAGCTTGATGATGAAGACATCATGGGAGAAGATAACTCTCTCCATGTTAGAAGCTTACTCAAAATCGAATGTTCGAAATGACTGGAGAAGATGCTACGTCCGTAGAGCCATTTGGGAGAAAATTTCGACTTTTTAATTTATTCCACATGGTCTTCTACTTCTTATCTAGCATTGTTATTGGGCACACACAGATTGGAGAAGATGCTACGTCCATGGAGTCATATTTTCTGAGAGCATTGTATGATATGAACTATTTTGGGTTGTAATGTTTCTAATCTGTGTTCATTGTTTACATCCCACATGAAATTGATAGTATCATGGTAGCTGGAGGTGAAGAAGAATATACCTTCTTTATTTTATCTTTGTCTTATAGTTGTTGTTTAGATTTGTACAATTGGTAATACTAGGTAAAACTATGTTGGTTTTGTTTTTTTTTTTAATTTATACTACTGGTATTACTAGGTAAAACTATGTGTACCGTCAAATTTACACATGTACGAGTCAAATTTACACATGTGCGCCGTCAAATTTGGGGGAAAACCTAAAAAAATGGGATCAAATTCTTAGGGGCTCTCCAGTCTAATCGGATCATCAATTATCCGAACTCACACTTTAGACAACTAATAGAACTTGGTATAACTATATTGTTTTTGTAACTTAGAAATTTGGCATAACTACGTCAGTTTGTTAAACTTAGTACAACTTGGTTAATATAGTTATTTGAAATTTTTGTATAACTAGGTACAACTTGGTACGTAGTTGTTCTACCCAGATTTTGTTCTCTCTCATCCTTTTTCTCTTTCTATAGTAGAGACTAAAAAAATTGAAAATTTTCAAAATTTTAAAACCGTAAAAAACGTGGGTCAAACTGCTCTCGGTCAAACTACGCCGTCATAAATTGCAAGTGGGCGCCGCAAAGCAAGTACATCTGCCAGGTGGCACTGCAAAAATGAACATAGTTATTCCTAGTTTTCAAGTTGTACTCGCATATACACAGTTGTACTTTTTGAGATGTTTTGAATAATTAGTTATACTTGGATTGAAACTAAATTTTTTTAGTTATACCCATGATTTTAGTTATTTGAGGTACATTTCCTATGTTTTCATGCAAAAATATATGTCAAAACGTTATTTTTGTGTGTTTTGCAATGCAATGGGGATAACAGTAACAAAGTCATCTTAAAAGTATAAGGTCTTTCTTATACAAAAATGAGTTTAATGGAAACTATCTTATAAATTTTGTTAAACTAATGTTATTTAAGAAGATTTGTTAAATTATTGGTTAAATTTCTAAAGTGCATATGAAGATTTTATAAATGGTCTAACTAATTTATTAAACAATTTGTACAAAAATGAGTTTAATGGAAACTATCCTATAAATTTTGTTTAACTAATGTTATTTAAGAAGATTTGTTAAACATTGGTTAAATTTCTAAAGTGCATATGAAGATTTTATAATTTATCTAACTAATTTATTAAATTACATATAAAGATTTGTTAAATTGGTCGTAGTTGTACCATTAAGAAACCAAGTTTTACCAAGTTATACAAATATAGAGTATCAAACATTAAATACAGACACAAATACACAAATACGGACTGATATGGAATGTTATGATTGGTCGGAACAGTCAATTTTCATTGTTCAAAATAATAGCTTCTTATTTGTCAAATTATTTTTGTTATTTATTATTAAATTTGATTTTAGAAGGGTAAAATGGAGTTTTTGTATTTCATTAAGAGTAGGAGAGTATGTGAGATTTTTGGAGAGTAAATAGATTGATAAGTGAGGAGTAAGGAGCTCCTCAGATTTGGACCCAAAAAAATGGGAGAATTTCAATTTTAGGACACGTGAGCCCCATCTTATCCACGTGTGCGCCGTTTTTTTCTACCAGTGCGCAGCTTTTTTTAAACATAGTTGTACCCTAGTTATTGGTTGTACAAATTTTCTACATAGTTGTATTTTTGGTGTTTTTCAGTTTAACCAGTATTACATATTCTTAAAAATTGCTTATCTAGTTGTACACTTGAATGAATTCTATAATTATAGAATTCTTAATGTTTTTTGTAATCATACGTTAAAAATATATAAAATTGTAAATTTTCCATCCTAAGTTGGTGCTTTTATAAAAAGTGAACTTAAAAGTATAAGGATTATGTTGTATGGAGTCTATTAAAACAATCCGATATGATATAATTTTTTTTTCTCACTTAATTTATTTATATCATTTATAAGAGTTCATTATTACTTAATAGTCAGTGTAATATTTAATGTTGGAAAAAATAAATTTGAAATTCAAATTCCTTCATAAGTTATACCAGTTTTACTAGTATTACCAAATCTCGTTATTAGTACTACTTTTTATACTAGTTTTACCCATTTGCCATAGAAAAAAAACATAGTATTACATCATAAAAAACTAGTGTTACATAGTTGTCTAAGTCGAAATTGTTTTACAAATCATAAAGTGCAGATAAAATCAAATATTATGATTGCCAAATAACAACCACAAACAAAACAAAACATAATCTCTACTCTCCACAGTTGCTCGGACAATTCTGGTGGAGTGATGACCTCCACATACAAAACATATCTACGGACTACGGTTATTTTCACCTAAAACTAAATAGACACCAACATCCTCATCATCACAAATGTAAATATCTTCCTCTGGTCCCAACACTACTGCATTGTACCTCATTTGCAATTTAACCTTACTTTTATCTAACACTAGCTTCGTGCATATCCTACCTTCTAACATGGAGAGAGTTATCTTCTCCCCTGATGTCTTCATCATCAAGCTATACATGTGACTTTCGCATTTAAAATATATGATCACGTTCTTCCTCATTGTATCCTGCCAAAACAATACAAAAACTCTGCGAGTTATACTAGTTGTACTACAATTCTGGGTAATACTAGTAAAACTAGTAATACTACATATATTTGGATAATACTAGTGTAACTAGTAATACAACATATATCTGGGTAATACTAGTGTAACTAGTAATACTACATGTATATTGGTAATACTAGTGTAACTAGTCATACTACATACATCTGGGTAATACTAAGTGTAACTAGTAATACTACATATATATTTTTCAATAGATTCAGGTTCAATTCTACCCAGTTCTAACAGTTGTACTTTCGCGTCAAGAACTCAAATCGAATGGTTTTGGGTTCTAAACTACAATTCACTATGATTCAGTTGCTGCAATCCATTTCTTACCCATTTACAGACCTATTCGACCCAGAAACTATGCATAAACTTCCAATGTGCATACCAAACAATTAGCTAAATCCAATTGGATTCAATCTCCTTAATTGTAAATGGTTTTGATTCAATTTCAAGCTCAAAGGAGCTCGAGAAACATACATGTCCTTTCTATCTCGACCCAGCTCGCCGGAGGAGAGGATACGGCAACAATGGCGACTGCAAATCGAATATGTGGCAACAATGGCGGAAGAGGAGCACGACAAGAGCGAGAGCTCGTTTTTTTTTTTTTTTTTTTCCAATTTTCATTTTTTTTTTTAATTTTAGTAATTAATTAATTATTCTGAAAATGAAGGAACACACATTTCATTAATAGAGAAGGGGATATGTAGACAAATAAAGGATATAAGAGGTTAGTTGCTTTCAAAAAGGGACTTGAGAGACATTTTCTCCCAAAGAATCCATGAAAAAATGCTTATCCAAAGCATAGGAGGATTTCTTTGTTCAAAAAAAATTTATAAAAAAAAAAAAACATAGGCCACAAATCAATCTGAGGAGTCTTTGTTGCAAAAGAGGTTCATGTAAATCCTCCTCCTAGGCGATTTTATCTATCTAAACGTCGTCCACGTGTGATAGTTGAATTGGTAAGCATAAAATCATCCCAACAATAATATTTTACTAGGATTTAACCCGCGGTGTACTGCGGAGCAAAATTTTATTTTATGTATTTTATATAATAATTTATAATTTATTGTATTTTAAAATTGATATTATTAAAAAAAAAAAAAAGCTCACTTAATTATTTTATATTATAATTAATATAGTTAAAATATGTGTACTTAGAAGATTTGTAGGTGTATAAATGATATAGTGTTAATATCTCTATACTATTAAAAGAGAAGTACAAATGAAAATGGGTAGGGTTAAAATCACAAAATTGACCCGAAATTCTGAAATCGGATCTTTGAAATTTTTTTGGAATATAAATTCGAATTAATAATGATAATCGAATTAAAATCAAATATTTATGGAAATCAAATAAAATCTGATTGTACTTATGATAACTAATTATAAAAACATATTCCGAACAATATTATACATTAATTACGTATAATAAATTTGTTCATATATTTTTGGAACTAATTCCATAGCAATCAACGTTTTTGTCATTAATTTTGCTCATTTTAGCCAGTTATCATTAATTGAAAGATATCTTAATCCATCTGTTTTATAAATTAAATTGATATTTTTAATTTAATTAGATTAAATCAAAATTAAGGTATTTTCATACCTATAGCTTACCAAAGAAGTTTAATTTTCAATTTATAAAGATTTCTTGAATATCATTTAGAATTATTCAACAAGATGATAAGTATTTATTAAATTTTGTGAATCATGAAAATTAATAATTAATTTTTAATCATTATATTTCATCTTCAATCTCTCATCTAACAAATAATATACATATTCTATTATTCGTATGTCCAAACTTCATTTTGTTGTATGACTAAATAATATTCCCATTAGAGCTGTCAAACCGAGTTGATTCATCCCGTTAAGCCCGTTTTGCGAAAAGGCAAAAAATATTTTGACTTGTAGTTAGTCGGTCCGCACGACCCGCATATAGCATATATGAAATACAAACCCGTCCCGCGAATGTATGCGGATTTGCGGGATTGTCCGTGGATTTTGTTTAAATAATTTTAAAGTAACCAAAATTTAAAATACTACTAAAATAAATAAATAAATAAAAAATACTATTAAAAGTTTGTTTAAATTACCACATGTTGAATAAATTATAATTTTATCAATAAATACTAACATGCGGACTGATCCGCCAACCCGCAGATAAAAACCCATTAAACCTATGACCCACTGCGAATTAATCCATGTGGCCTGCTTATTTGCGGGTTTAATATATTTTCTCAATTCTGCCCCATAGTGAGATGATTTGGGCTCGACCCGCGGTTTTTGATCTAAAGTGACTGCTCTAATTCCCATGAATCGTCTAATTTTAGAATTCTAAAACACAAAATTCTATTTTGTAAATCATAATTAATACGATGGGTTTATTTATAAACAATTTAACATTTTCTCTACAATTCTTTATTATGAATATTTATAAGTATACTACACGATTCGCTCTACTAAAAACACACAATATTAAACTCAACATATGTAAACTAATTTTCCTCCGCGGTGGACCGCGGGTCCGATCCTAGTTAGCAAGTATTTATAGTCATGGACTATTATAATAATTTAATATTATTTTGTATCAAAAAAATATACCCCGCGGTATATGGCGGGTCGATTTTTTAAAACTAAAAATTTTAAATTTTAAGTTATATTTTTTTGGTTAATATTGTTTGGTTTGTTTAATATTTAAGATTATATAATTATATTTTTATTTTTAATTCTAGGTTTCACCCGTGGTATACCGTCACGTATTAATATCGACTCAAACCCGTCCCACCATATAACCTCGTTTTGTATTCAGAATCATTTTAGTCTTTTTTATAGTATGACTCTGAACCATTGTCCAATTTTTTAAACAATATGGGATATTGTACACATACTTTTTGTTCATCGATTGAGTAATATATGTCCATTTTTAAAAATTTGAATCACATTTTTTTTTTTTCGGCAAATCATTTGAATCACATTATATGTAGAAAAATCTATTATTTTATTAATTATATGTATTTTATATAAATTCAAAATAAATTACTATAAGATCATATAAAAGTGAAAGAAGAATTATATATTAATGTTTAAATTTGGTAGATGTTTTAGAAAAATTTAGAAACAAAATCAATTTGTTACCATATTTGGAAGCCACAGTTTTTAAAAGTTTTTTTTTGAAAATATTTTGTAATATTAATTAATATATAAATATTTATGATAATGGCATTCTATTGTAAATACTTCTCAACTTCATGATTTATTTGCTAAATGTACTTAAAATATATATATATATAGATGATTCAATCAAATTGTGATTTTGACTCTGAAAACCATTTTGTGGTCCTCCTTCGACCGTTTTTATTGAAAAACAGTTTGGTAAGAGAACTAGGGAAGGTCACTTTTACTAGTGCTTTGATTTCAGCACATTACCTTGGTTTGGTTTTGCAAGTGTTAAAAACCCTATTTTGTATTTGGGCTGACAAAAGAAACTGGGCCTTCAAATGGGCATCTGTTGTCTTTTCTTTCTACCGCATTTAATTAGGAAAATGTTCAACAAAAGTAAAATTACGTGATTTAGTAGTTAGTTACTTAGTTATGTTGGATGATCTATTGTAAAAATAAATCTTAAAAAATTAACTTTGGGTCTAACAAGAAAAAATGGGCCATGAATAAGAGGGCAATTATATGAAGCCACATAAAAACGTTAACAAATTGGAAATCGACGTTTTCTGAGAAGACCTTTATCCAAATTATTGCCGAGTCCAATACACATCCATGGACCATGGTAGCTAAAACCTAAAAGTAGTAGCCAAGCATGCTGATGCACATAATTTTTATTTTTTTTCTACATCACCCAATTTCATTGAGGGTTATCTCATAGATTTTACGAAAATATTTCGTGTTTATTTTTCTTTTGTTACAAGACAAAGTAAACATTTCTATTATAGGTTATAGCCATCAACTAAAACAATTTGCAAAATACTATGCTTACTCGCATTTTTCTTTATTACATAATATTTTAAATCACAGAATAGAATGAATATGCCCAACTATATCGTTAACTAATTTAGTCAACGTTATATACTTTTAAGGAAAATTGGCTTCGTTGAAAAAAAGAGTAGTATTAAAAGCGCGTTCAATAGTTTTCCCTGTTTTCAAAATATATCTTAAAAATTCCTACATGAATTTAATAAATGATAATATGTTTTTCAATTAAAATTTGTCAAACAGAGCATTTAAATATAACAAAATGAAATTATAAAGGCTCCGAATGGAGAAATGGTTCAGGCAGAGCGGATCAAACGGTCCAAGCGGTTCTAGCGGAACAAGTGTGGATCAAGCGGTTTTAGCGGAACAAGTGCGGATCAAGCGGTTCTGACAGTCTATAAAATATTTGAATGGTGAAAGTGGTTCAAGTCGTGCGGATCAAATATTTATATAAAAAAAAACACTAATTTTAAATAAAATACTTTTCAAAAGTTATAAAAATGATATTAAATTAAATTTTGCTAATTTATAGAATATTATACAGATTATAAGAATTATTTTAAATTAAAATTTACTATATTATTTTGTATTTTTTTTTAATATGTATTTTTCAATTCAGTGTAAAAATATTTACATGAGTTTAATATATTAACATTATTTAGTGTTTTAGATACAAACCAAAAACACAAAATTTAACAAATACAACCACAAAAAAAAAGTAGAGTTGAATTGAGCTATATTGAGATATAACCATATAACCATCAAATATACTGAAAAATATTGAAAATGCAAGAAACACATCACGTACACAGCAAATAAGCAGCATTTTTACTGTACAAGGCAGATCATATAATTTGTTCACAAATCTCGTCCACTTTTACTGTGGCGTTCCAAATTTTATTTTCTGAAAAAACTGTTTGCTTTGTTTAATAAGCTTGAATGGCAAATTATTTGTAGTGCGTCTGCTTTGCTTTTGGACTGCCTAAGAACCGGTTATCCATTCAAGTCCAAAATATTAGAAAAAAGAAGCAAATGATAATGGAGTGAGAAGTTAGAGATCTGAAATGAAGTGTCGAGAGTCCTCTTGAATTTGTTCAATCTTTGATTATTTTCATTGCTTAAGACTGAAACCTCTTCGATCCATTCTTACTTTGACAAGAAATAAAATAAAAGAAAGAAAAAGAAATAGCCAATTGACGAAGTCTTTTAGCTCATCAATGATTTATGCGGTCAAAGTCAACCAATTACAAAAATAATACTAGAACCCAATAAGATATTATTATATACACACACATTTTTTTTTTTTTTTTTTTTTTTTTTCACAATACACACACATATAAGAGCATCATTGGCTCTTATCTCTCTCTATTTACAGACAGATGAGATAAAATAATTCATTCATTTCTTCAACCGTCTTCTTCTTCCTCAATAATATTTTCACAGGTATCTTCAATCTCTATTCTCTCTTCTACCATTTCTATCTACCAAAAGCTTTTACTAGGCTGATATGTGAGTTTTTTTACAATTTATCAACATCACAATTCATTGTATTAGTATTATTATTGTCTCATGTTTGACTCCACTTTGTGTTCTAACTAAAGAAAACCAATCGAAGATGGTCAATTCTGTCTTTGTAGAAACATGATTAAGCAAAAAGAAAACATGAATCATTTGTTGTGAGTTCCATGTATAACCGTTGACTCTCTTCTTGTGTGATGATATCTACTTCTTTGGTAAGTCAATGGATCTGACTTTTTTATTTCTTTGGTTTTGTATTCTCAGATTTGAGATCTTATTATAGAGTTTGGTTTAAGTTTGTGAGATGGACTTAGTGTCTGGAAAAGTAGTTCCAGGTTGCTCCAACGCAGGCAATCCTTTCCATGAGTGTACTGCTATCTGTTTTGAGAGATTAAACTCTCCAGATGTCCACAAGAAGGAGAAGAAACTCTTTGGTATGAATAAATGCTTCTGATTCTGTTATATCAGTAGTAATTGGGTCAAGAAGAGTCTCTGATTAACAGATGTTTTTGTCTTGTGTTAGGGTTTGGTAAGAGAACTCCAAGCAGGGATCAGACTCCTCCGGGCAGTCCGGCTCGTGGAAGCAGATCACCTCTGGCCAGCTATTTCGCCAAGAAGAAGGTTGAGTCATCAGAGAGTTCACCATCCTCCAATGATCACACCAATGGTAACTTCTTAAGTCGCCTTTCCCCGCTACAAGGACGCAAGATCGAGCCTTCAAGCAATGTCGATTCGCTACCAGTCTCACCTTCTCTTGCTCTATATTCAGGGGGAGACTACTTTGCAAGGAGGGTAAGGATTAATTCTTATATCAAGAATAGCTAAAGTCTCTCTCTCTATTTTGTTTCTATAAATGTTGAAACTCACTCATTTGTTGGTATTTGTTTATGCCAGACTGATCAGCGTGGAGATGAGGATGATGATGTATCACCAAGGCCTTTTGGAACTCAGCCTAAGACCCCTGAACACCCTCTTAGAACGCCTCAGCATAGGCCACGCACACCGCAACATCGCTCTGCGCACCAAGAGGACCCTGTTTTACTAGAAACTAGGCAGAGGACTCCTGAACGTCGATCCAATACCTCTGATACTAGGCCAAGGACACCCATACATGAGTATGCGGCAACAGGAAGAAGACCTCAAACACCAGAAACTAGACCGAGGACTCCTGATCACCGATATGCCACCTCTGATACTAGGCCGAGGACACCCATACATGAGTCTGCTGCAAGAGGAAGGAGGCCCCAAACACCAGAAACAAGGCCGAAGACTCCTGAACACCGATATGCCACCTCTGACACTAGACCGAGGACACCCATACATGAGTCTGCTGCAACAGGAAGGAGGCCTCAAACACCAGAAACTAGGCCGAGGACTGCACAACATAGAGGGAGGTCACCTGAGTTCACGGAAAGATCCCCCGGGCCAAGGTCCAAGACCCCTGAGCCTCAACCTACCTACTTTGAACCATCCTCAAGGACTCCAAAAATGCGGTCCAAGACGCCAGAACCCAGCCCTAGGATTCCCCAAACTCAGCCCATATCCCACAGATCTCTTGACAACGCCGCTCTTCAAATGCCTCGGACAGTTGAAACTAGGCCTAGGACGCCAGAACACCAGCCCAGGACTGTGCAAACGAAGCCAAGAATACATGAAAGTAGGCCAAAGACTGCAGTCTATGGAGGAAGGTCACCTGATCACAGGGAAAAAATTTCACAAACTCAACAAACTTCCTTTGAGATGGGTCAAAGATCATCTCATGCCTACAATCATCTTGAGAGCAAAGCTGAGTCAGTGTACATTGAGAAGGACGATGAATCAGTTCTACTCTTTCCAGAACTGATTTTGTCACCTCAAGAAAGGCCGCCCTCTAGACTTATTACGGTACTGCTCTCTACTCTCTACCTTCACACATATAGATATATATTTCTGCACATGCTAATGACAGTTTTTGCCTCTTACCTCAGCTTAATCACCGAGGGTATGAAACACCTAACAAACAGGAAGAACATTGTGATGAAATGGATGATTCTGCAAGCACAGACGACGATAAATTTTCATTTGTGGATGATCATGACGAACACACTGTTTCGTTTTACCCTGAAACCACATCGAAATCTGGAAGCAGCGAACAAGAGGAACAAGTTAAAGCAGACAACGAGCCACCGGAGCTGCCAGATGAATCACAGAGCTTCAGTCTTGCAGAGATCTCTCGTATGAAAGGAATAATTACCAAGAATGAAACAAGGGACGAGATGCAGTCCATTCTATCTGAATCTTACGTTAGTGTGGGAGACTACAAGGTGAGAGCTAGCGTCTCGGCCACTCTACAACACATACTCCAGAAGCACGGTGACATCGCGTCCGGTTCCAAACTACAATCACTTGCCACACGATCCTACTACCTCGACATGCTTGCCTCGGTGGTATTCGAACTCCAGAAAACTCCCCTGAAGTATCTCAAGGAGAGCCGCGTGGTGGAAATGGTAGCAATTGTTAGAGACGTTGAGTCTGTGAAAATCAAAGCAGGTTGGCTCAAGCCTGTCCTAGAGGAGATCGTAGAGGCGGTAAAACACTACGATGAACACAAGATGAGCATAATGGAGAAAGAGGTGTGGGAGAGAGATGTGTTACTTGCGAGACAAGAAACGGAGAAACAGGTGAAAGAACTGGGAGAGAAAGAGAAGAAGATCAAGGAGTGGAGAGCTAAAATGACGGAGATGGCTGCGAAGTTAGGGGATCTTGATATGAGAAGAGCTCGTCTACATAAAAGCTTCACATTTCTGAGCTCCAAGGTCGACAAGTTTCAGGGGAAACCCCTTCTTCAAGGCATCGTGTGACCAACCAAATTAGTCCGAATATTCTTTTGTTCATCTTGTTACCCGCAAAATAAGCGTTTGTGAACGGTTTGTTTTGGAAAACTTTGATATATTATCAAAATTTGTTATTAGAAGAAACCCAAAACCTAAAATTCACATAAAAATCCCAACTTTGTAGGAATAGAGTTAGGTAGGATTCTAATAAAATCTTCCAACTTGATTCTTATTATATGTATATTTTATAAACCCACAAACATAGCAAGAACAAACAAAGTATTTCGAAGAAGATGAAGATGAATAAGGTTGAAGAAGAGGAAAAAGAGAGGAGACTACAAGCAAATGGATTGTTTTGGACAGAGCGTTTGTTTCTGTTTCTACTTGTCATCTTCCCAACATACCTCGTGGATCTTATCATCCCTATCATTCTCTCCACTACTCTTTTCGCATTACCATTCTTCTTCTTTTGCCCTAATCTCTCTTCAGTTGGACCATCTGTAAGTATATCTCTTCTCAGATGTTGTATACTTGTATGGGGAAAACAATAACCTAACTTGACATGTTGATCTGTCTCATTGTCTGATTAGGGTATTGGAAGAATCTGGCTGTTTATATTGGACCGCTCTACGTTTTACTTAGCCTTTGAGTATTATAAACTATTGGCGGGAGGCTTTGAGCTCACATTCCTTTGGCGTCTCACCGTTTTCCTCTCCATCTTGATCCACTCCGTTTACATCGCCGAGCATTACCTTAGATCTCATCAAGCCGTACCACCTCCTCCACCTCCTCCACCTCAGTCTAAGAATGATGAGACTCCCGGTAATTATATAAACCGGTCTAGCTATTGCTTTTTGTATCGTTTCTTGTTTTATGCTAATGTACGATTACCTTTGAGATGAAGGTGATGTGTGCAAGGAAGTGGAAAAGATGAAGGAGTTAGTGGAAGATGGGAAGAAGATGATGACATTTATGGAGAACATGATCCACTCAGGTCTTGAAACTCATAGAAAAGAGTGGGGAGAGTTTATTGATGAGTTGAGCAAAGATGGGAAGAAGATGATGACGAAATTGGACGGTATGATCTGCTCACAACTTGGAACTCTGAGAGACAACATGCGCCTCAATGTTGACGAGATATGGCAAGAGCTCCGAGATGAGTTAAGATCTAAAGTCGATGAGGATATCAAAGCTTCGGGACAAGATCTTAACAAAGATGTCAGATCTGTGGCCGACCAACTCCGTGAGACCTATCTTGCCGTCCAAGAAATCATCAAAGAAGCCAAGGCCCACGAGACCAACCTTATCGACCAAAAAAATAGACGGGTGATAAGAGGAGAAGAGGTTGAGGGATTTGCTGAGCTGAGGGAGCAAGTGCGGCGAATGGCGGTTGAGGCAGAGATTGCTGCCGAGGAGCTCTCACGTGCGACTGTGGAGTTGGTGGAGGCAGGGATCCAGCAATGGGAGGAGGACAACTTCGACTATCTTACCTCCCTCCCTCTCATGTATCTCAATCACAACTAGTTATTCGTTGGATTCTATTGTTTCTAATCTTTCTTAAGTTTTTATTAAGTTGATTTGAGAACTAGATTCTCCTTGTTTTGTTAATTGTTGCTTGATTTTTTTTTGTTTTGTTCATTATTTATCTTGTCATCCAATTAAGTTAATTTTACTTATAATCATGTTATTTGATATAAGAATGGAAGAGTTTTTTTTTATATGGTCCAATTTAGTTATGCCTGCAAGGAATGCAGTTCCAACAGCACTACTATTCAGATAATTAGAGAATAAACCTGTTGCAGTTCCAGCAACAATGCTATTATTGAGTTATAGGTTCTCAACGATGTCAATAAATATATATATATATATATATATATATATAGTACTGCTTGATGCGTTAAACAAATGTGTCAAATCTATATATTTTGGTTAAAATGAAAGGTTTTTTGCATGATTGATATTTGTTTTGCCGGTTTCAAGACTAATCTTGAGAACCACAAAAATCTATCTCAACATCGAATAAACATTGAGGTGCTCTACATTCGGCTAAAGCCACACAATTGGGATATTATCCGGTTCAAGTCGAAGTCTATGGCCTGAGTACCTGTTTGACAATGTCTGTCTGTTGAGGAGTCATTCTTCGTCAGAGCTGCAGAAATCTAGGACCATCATTTTCTCGGGCGTTTCCCTCCTGTCCTCTGTTTTCTTTCTCTTTGGCTCACCCTTTACTTGCGTTTCTTTTGTCGATACTTTCCTGAAGAAGAAATTCCAGAACATATCCTTTGAGATAACATTTTTACATTAGCACAACTCAATAAAGTAACAACTCAAGAAGATGGTACCTCTTCTCTGTAGACTTATTCACAGCTTCAGATTTCTTGTTTACATTCTTTGAAGCCTTTTGTCCTGTAACTCCAAGATCAGTCACATTTCACCTTATAAACTTTAATTTGTATTGTGCAAATGAGAAGGAAGAAGCATACTGGCCATCTCATTCAGGAAACGTATTCCTTGTGAGTGTACGTTAGGGGTCACTTTATCCGCGCCACTGCGTAATCACAATTGACTTTAGAATCTGAAAAGCGGATTCTGTTCGTTATGTAAAAAGTAAAACACTTGTTGAATGTTTCCAACCTTAGAGCCTTTCGAAGACCTTCCACTGATAGTACTCGAACAGGCTGAGTGGCCTTTTTGTTTCCGCTTCTATCTGCTGGTGGCTCAACGGTGTAAATCCCTTGGGATTTAGGATCTCTGAAAGCAGTTCTCAAGTTCCTGAAATAAAGAAAAATCCCAAGAATCATGCAAATTTCCCACTCAAGGTATGACCAATCTATGAACACAACTCTAGTAGCATTAACATACCCTCCTTTGAGTTCAGTTCTCATTGTAGCAAATTTGTCTGATGCATTCTGTGAAAAATTCATAGTTAGTGAAAAACATGGTTCATTGCATTGACACCAGAAAACAAGACCAAGGTATTACCAAAATGTACCAGTTTATGAATCTTGCAGAATGCTCCTTGGCGCCTGAAACCAAATTCAAAGCTGTAACTCAACATTCAGGCACAATACAAAGAGAGATGCATCGCCAAGGTAAACTTACTTGTTTACAACAGATGTACAAGTTGTTCCATCTTTCCGCTTCGCTGTGCAGACTCCATAATCAGCCGAAACCCCAAGTTTTACCATTTGTTTAGCAGAGTTGACACTCAATGAGAAGTCACGTCCCTGGCAGAACCATAAATTTTTAAAAAGGAGATTTAGTTAAGCCATCAGGCTACTCACAAGACAAGCTGATGCTATATACTTACCCCTTTGTCCTTGCGAACTGAGCAATTCAACAGACCGAAAACCGTTCCCGCTTTTTCTGTCTCATTCTTTTTGTAAGCATCACCAAACAAGAACAAGGAGACAGTGTTTTCATTTAAGCTACCGATCTTCCATATGCCATAAGGCTGACCAATTGAGCTTGTTTTGGGTTGTCCTTTCTCTGTAAGAACTCCCATTGTCGCCCAGCAGCCAGAGAGTTTGTCACCCATTAGCAAGTTCCTAGACAGAATTGTTTCAATTAAATGTCTTCTGCTTCCCAAGAGTAGATAATGTTTATCTATCTAAGAAGTGCACCACTTACTTAATTGTTGGCAATCGAACGAAACGGATATCTGAAAACAGGTCACTTATCTCTGCAGGGCTAAGTAATTGATTCCTACAAATACATGAAAAGATTGGCTATTTCAACTATAGATTGAAATGAAAAAACAATCTACGAGTATAGTAGCTGTGACTGACGTTGCTAGTGTGAAAAGGTTGTATATACCTAATGCGCAAGCCAGAAAACTTGTCAAGGTCGTTGGCATTGGAGTTGTTAGAGCCTTTGGGTTTAGTGTTTTTGGCGACTGGTTTAGGATCATAGTCAATGCAATCTTGAACAACGCTTCTGAAGTCAGACAAGTCAGAGTGACCCCTACGCTTGGGGGATTCATCATCCGTGAGATATCCTGCACAAACATGACATTGCACTAAGGACAAGAACAATTGAAATATCGAAAAGCATCAAACTTCACAGATATTTGAGAGAATTTGGTGGAAACAAGACGCACCCAGATCAATACTCGAATCATAAGATCTATTACGCAAGTGATTGATCGAATCAGAAGTACAAATCGGAATCTTCGCACACTGGATTTAAGAAAGCAAAACCCTAAAAATGTGAGAGAGAGAGAGAGAAGCTCACTGGGTGCAGCAGAAGGAGAACCAGGAGGAGTTTCGAGAACCCTATCGTCAAGAGACAGAAGCAAATCAAGATCCTCTTGGTCGTTTTCCATTTTTTCGATTTCTCGATCCAACAGCGAAGCTCAAGAACACAAAACAACATTGCTCTTTGTGGGGCGGGAGACTGAATTTCGTTGCCCGCCGAAACGCCAAAGCGACGCCGTTTTTGCGATCTAAGGTTCCTTCGTCCACGTGGATTAATTAATTAAATAATTATGCTTCATACCACCCGGTTTGACCGGTTCGTGAGAAAGATCATGTTTAAATAAACCGGCAATTTGTGTCGGCATAGCAATTTGTGTCTTAACGAGAGAGTAAATAAAATAGTCAGAGTCTACGTGGTCCATCAACAACCACAGGGCCCTGATTGCCACTAACATGCACTTAAAATATGCCACATGTCATAATCATGGGCTTCTTATCGACATGTGATGGCCCAATATAAGAGATGCTTTCCCTTCTCTTCCAATAATTATCCAAATGTGCCCCAATATAATTTTTAGAACAAAATTATATGTTTTCGTAAACAAGAGAAATTTTCTTTGAAAACATTTAAGTCTTCCTTAAGTCTCAGTCAGAGTCCCTTGCATTTGCACTCAGTCACATTCCTTTTTGGAAAATTCAGTTTGAAGAGAGAAGTGCTAACAAAGGAGCCTTCCTTATTGCTCAAAGTGTGACAAGAGAGGATCGTCGACAATCATACGTAGCTTCGGGCTACCCTTTTTGGTTACATGATTTGTTCAATGAAGAGATGTCTACTACTTAGTTGTGGTTCTTTTTGTATTCTCTTCGGTGTAGGTGATTGTCTTGGATCCTCATCCTTTTGATCGGATTGTAATCTGGTTTCCTCAAGTTATCAATATATTGAATCATTCAGTCGAAAAAAAAAAAAAAAAAACATAAAAATTTCAAATTTGTATTATTTCCCCATAAACCACAATATTGACGTATTAGTTGATGTGTGATTGTGATAGGATCAAACATGCTTAATGTAGAAAGGAATAAAGATTTTCATTAATTTATTATAGTATTATACAAACATGAAAAAGATTGGTTTCCCAAAGCGATGTTATTATTCGAAGAGAGAATAATAAAAAAACATCTAATTGCTGATATTTTTTTTTTTTTAAATAGAAGACAAAGACAAAAAAAAAAAACAATAAAATAATGAGTCCGTGTCTTTAGCAGCGAAACGCACACCTTGTTTGCTTGCTTGCCTCCTGGGCTTCACGATTCTCACGACATCTGTTTATCTTCTCCGATTTCCACGTCCATGGATCTCAGTCAATGCTCCTTAATCTCTCTTACCGATTAGTCAATCTCCACTCAGATCGGTTCCGACGCCGGAGAACTCTATCCGTTAAAGCTCCGTCTTGAGGGAGATTCTTGATCTGTGTTTTGTTTTGGTTGCTTGTTGGATCTGAAACGGAAATCAAGATGGGTTTTTTCAGTACGATACTAGGGTTTTGTGGATTTGGAGTTGGGATTTCTTTGGGACTTGTTATTGGTTACGTTCTATTCGTCTACTTGCTGCCCAACGACGTCAAGGTTCGTTTTTTCCTGCGATTTGAGTATTTGTGATTCCGTATCGATATGCGTCTATCTATGTCCACATTAGGATTAGCAAATGGAATGGAACTACTTGTTGCCCTGTGATTTGTGTATATTTCTGTGCCGTGTTAGGTACACTTGTGTATGTCTCTAAGTTGGAATTGTCATTTTACACTCTTAAGTTTGTTTTTTGCACTTATAGGATCTTGAAATTCGTTCAATAGCTGACCAAGATCCCAAAGCTATGCTACGGATGCTTCCAGAGATACCTCTATGGGTCAAAAATCCCGATTTCGATCGTGTATGTGATCTTCCCCCTACTCTTCACATCACAAGTTTTTTCTTTTTTTTTGTGTTTTCTCAGCCTCTGATGTTTGTCCTTCTATCGTCTTATGAATCAGGTTGACTGGATTAACAGATTTCTCGAGTACATGTGGCCTTATCTCGACAAGGTTACATACCTGGACTCTCTTGTACTGATGTTCTTGTCATTCTTCAGTTTCTCTTACCTTCATTTGCTAAATTTTGCTCTCTCCAACTTACTATGTAGGCCATATGTAAGACTGCAAAGAATATAGCAAAGCCGATCATTGAGGAGCAGATACCAAAGTACAAGATTGACTCTGTTGAATTTGAAACACTTACACTAGGCTCTTTACCCCCTACATTTCAAGGTCGGTTAATCCTTTCTTCTCATCTTCAATCTCTCCTTGAATGTCCTGTTCGCATATTGGAACTAAGAGCTGGAGGGTAGACCGATGATTATGAATTGATTTCAGGACTTACGACTACTATTCTTCTCTTTGCAGGGATGAAAGTTTATCTCACGGATGAGAAAGAGTTGATTATGGAACCATGCTTGAAATGGGCCTCAAATCCCAATATCTTGGTTGCCATCAAGGCATTTGGGTTGAAGGCAACAGTTCAGGTAATTATGCTGCTAATCGCGGCCTACTTAATATTAGCAATCATGATTATCCCTGACTTACCAAGGATTTTTTCTCAGGTGGTCGATCTGCAAGTTTTTGCTCAGCCCCGTATCACTCTCAAGCCATTAGTCCCAAGTTTTCCTTGTTTTGCCAACATCTATGTGTCTCTTATGGAGAAGGTCTGTGATACAACCTTTTTTCTTTTTAAGGTCAATTTGTGTAGTAGTCAGCCTCATTATCAGATCGTCGGTAGAGCTTTTGTGTTTCTGACTGTTCCTTGCTACTATGCCAGCCACACGTTGATTTTGGACTGAAGCTTGGTGGAGCAGATCTTATGTCAATCCCTGGCCTCTACAGATTTGTTCAGGTTGATATCTTTCTTTTACATCATTCAAATCCCCGACTTGTATGAGTAAGAATTTTCTTTTTGAGGGAGAGGTATGATTGAACATTATAGGGGCTACTTACTCTATTTAGTCTATTTTCATGAAGAATATTTGTTTCAATCTTTTAAGGCTGAATGGCAGATGAAACTGTGACATCTTGCCTTGTATGGTCAATATATACGTATTTGGATATTCTGTTTCTTATTTGGTGAAAGTGGCTTGGTCTCCTAGCTTTTACGTTTCTGCTGGATCAAATATTCATTTGTAGTTCCACTGCTGCGTTAATTGTTTCAGGAGCAAATCAAGGATCAAGTTGCGAACATGTATCTCTGGCCGAAGACCCTTGTAGTTCCGATCCTTGACCCTGCGAAGTATGCCATTCCGCCTTTTTCTTTTGAACAGTCAATCCATGTCTTAAATCCATTTTTGCTGAGCAAATCTTAATTTATAATCTGCAGAGCATTCAGAAGGCCTGTTGGAATCGTCCATGTAAAAGTTGTGAAGGCTGTGGGGCTGAGGAAAAAAGATCTGATGGGTGGGGCAGATCCATACGTGAAAATCAAGCTCTCTGAAGATAAGATTCCTTCTAAGAAGACAACAGTTAAACACAAGAATTTGAATCCTGAATGGAACGAGGAGTTCAAATTCTCGGTCAGAGATCCCCAGACTCAGGTTCTAGAGTTCAATGTGTATGACTGGGAACAGGTAAAAAGCTATCCAAAGGGTGACAGGTGACGTGGAGCAGGATATATATGTAATATTTGTTTTGCAACGCAGGTTGGGAAGCACGATAAGATGGGTATGAATGTATTAGCTCTGAAAGAAATGGTGCCTAACGAACATAAAGCATTCACCTTGGAACTGCGTAAGACTCTGGACGGCCGTGAAGAAGGGCAGACTGACAAGTATAGGGGGAAGCTGGAGGTCGAACTCTCGTATAAGCCATTCACGGAGGAAGAAATGCAAGCGGTACAGAAAGCTCCAGAAGGCACACCGGCTACTGGAGGAATGCTTGTGGTAATAGTGCATTCGGCTGAGGATGTTGAAGGAAAGCACCATACGAATCCTTACGTGCGCATCTATTTCAAAGGGGAGGAGAGAAAAACGAAGCACGTGAAGAAGAACAGAGACCCAAGGTGGAATGAGGAGTTCTCCTTCATGCTCGAGGAGCCTCCAGTCCGTGAGAAGCTGCACGTGGAAGTGCTGAGCAACTCTTCCAGGATAGGTTTATTGCATCCCAAGGTAACACACTCGTTCCAACAGTAGCAAGTGTTGTTTGTGTTGGTCTAATCTAAAAGTGGTTTTTGATGGACAGGAAACACTGGGGTACGTGGATATCCCCGTGGTGGACGTGGTGAACAACAAAAGGATGAATCAGAAGTTTCACCTTATTGATTCTAAGAACGGAAAGATCCAAATCGAGCTTGAGTGGCGAACTGTCTCATGATTTCTGATTTGTTTCGAGAACAAACAAAGAGATCAGTGGTTTGATGTTGTTGTACAAAATGGGCTTTAACTCTTAAAACCATCATTCAGATTTGCAGAGCCTTTTTTTATTTGGATTTGTGTGTTTTCAACTTCTCTTCTCTATGATATTCGGTAGTGTGACTCTCTGTTTCCACTGCTCATTTTTTTAGCGAGAATATGTCTCAAAAAATTATTTGCAATTAAACAGTATCATATATGAAAGAAGATCAAGGCATACTCGAAACCGAATACGTCATGTGCTTCCATTGTTCTGTTTTTGAAGGGAATGAAGAAATGAACGACTTGTTCTTGGATTCTGAAGCTCAAATAATATGACTTTTAAAATGCATATATACCATCTAAATCGTGAGACCCGCTTCTTGACATTAACAATCTTGTAGTTGTGGTCAACCAGTTCCTTTGTTATTATTATATATGGTTAACAAGTTTCACGATCAATACAAAATAATAGTTGGTCAACTTCTATTTTATTTTCTATACAATTTCAACTTGATTAAATTAATAAATACACATGATCAAGTTGAATAATTGTAACTTGTATGTATACATATCCTCTCTTCAACCTTTATCATAGCAGAAGACAGATCAAACCGAAGGCTTTCTTATGGAGGAAACAAAACCAAAGACGTGAGTCAAGAAAAACAAATTGCTATGTTGAGTATTGATTTTTATGAACAATTTCGTATGTACGTGTTCAAGTATATATTTTGTCAATTTTGTTTTTACAGAGTTGAAGATGTTGAGACGGTTGATGTTTACACAGCTAAAGGTTTTCTTAGTACTGGTCATCGATATCTCGATGTAAGGTAAATATCTTATAAAAAGTAAAAACATATATATCTTTCGTTTAAATTCTTCTTGTTGAAATATATTTAGTTAATCTAATTGATTTTTGTCGGTAAATTGTATAGGACAAATGAAGAATTCGCCAAGAGTCATGTTGAGGATGCTTTGAACATTCCTTATATGTTCCAAACAGATGAAGGTGAGTTTAAATTTAGCAAGAGTTTCATTTTAAATATTCGATCACAAATATAACTTAGAAACAATTATTGTGAATGGTTTTTTGTAGGTAGGGTTATAAATCCTGATTTTCTTCCTCAAGTGGCATCGGTTTGCAAGAAAGATGAACATATGATCGTGGTTAGAATCTAATTAGTGATAACATATATTTTCAAACATTAGATTAAATTTTAGTTAAGAATGTTTCCTTATACTAAATATGATATGGTGAAGGCTTGTAACGCTGGAGGAAGAGGAAGTCGTGCTTGTGTTGATCTTCTCAATGCGGTGAGTCTACACACATTTAATAATGTATACAGTATATACAAAAATACACCATACTTAAGTGTCTATATATATTTTTATGTATGTCGCGGTAGGGGTACGAGCATGTTGCTAACATGGGGGGAGGCTACTCGGCTTGGGTTGACGCTGGATTCGCCGGCGACAAACCCCGGGAAGAGCTCAAGATTGCTTGCCAGTTCCGACCAAAGGAAAACTAAATCAGCCCGGACCCCGTTTGATGCAAAATAATAAGCTTGAAACTTGAAAGTGATGTTGTGATGAAGTGATGAAGTGATGTAGTGACGTTTCTAATCTATATATATAATTTGAGAGTTTTCTCTCCTCTTAAAGTGTCCACATCAGCATCCATGTCATCATACTTTTTTTCATGTAGATTCCACATATCTTATTTATCACAACAAAACATTGAAAATAAAATTAATTCAAACACTCTCTATTATTATGTTTCATTAAAGAAAAACAATAAATATATATTTAAAAAATGTAAAAGTAAATATATAACAAAAAAAATTGAATAGAGATTGGATATAAATAAAATTAGATAATTATATCTTTACATATAATGAGTAAATATATTTAAATGGTTAGAGATAGGAAAAAGAAACTTATCATATATTTTTACGGTACAACAATTATTTTTACTAATTACAAATATTTAGTAGGCTAAAGAAAATAAGAGTTAAAAAATATCAAAATTAAAGGATTTTACTTACAACAAATGTAAAGATATAATTATCTAATTTTATTTATATCTGTAAATTATTTATACTTTTGGGCTTTTTGGGCCTAAACATTATAATATGGGTTCCTTTGTGGTTACTTTTGTAGATACTATATTTTGGACTTCAGCCATTTTTCACAAGCTATAAATTATTATTAAAATAATTATGAAATTTAACAATATATATATATATATAATAAAATAGATTTTTTTTTTTTTTTTTTTTTTTATCGGCCAATCCATTAAGGTAGAAAGCCCAATGGGCAGTACAAGGAGATGAAATACAGAAACCCATTTCCAACATTTACAACCCTAATTAGAATAAAAGCAGCTTAATCTTAAACTCATTAGTGAAAGATTAAGAACAGAGGGTGCCACGTGCAACACCACGTGTCAACACGCAAGAAGGAAAAAGAAACAGTCAGTGTCGGCCAATTCCACGAGTTGACACAGCACCGCCGCCGGCTTCGAGCATCCACCACCGCGATCCTTCTACAGATTCCGCCTTTACCGATCTGATTGAAGACCACCGGTCCCGTCTGAGAAAGAAACCTCAAGAAGACTTCAAAAATCTTCACATCTTAACCCGATCTCTTGAATTGGAAGCTCCGCCTATGACCTAAAGAGGTCGCCGACTACAACAGAGTCAGAAGCTGCGACGAAGATATTACTCCGATAGAAGAGAAGAGTCAAGCCGACGGTGAAACGGGGAGATCAATAGATCTCAAGGTGATATTGATTTATTCCCTGTAGAAAGAGGAACAAAAACAATCCAGACTTAGAAAACTAAGATGGATGTTATTAGATCCGGAGAGACCGGAGAAAGGTCCGACAAAACGGAAAAACGAAATCCGACTAAAGTCGGAAAACTGAGTATATTACAAACAAAAAGCGCGAACGGCGGAAGAGAATTCCGGTAAATCGGAAATCACCCTCTCTCTCTAAAAGATAGAAGTGTGATAAGAGAGAGAGTTTTTAGAAAGATAATAATTTGTTTTTTTAATAAAATAGATTAAATAAGGGATATATAGAGACAAACATTTAAAATGCTTCTAGATTAATCTTCTCTGTGATTTGTCTGGTAAAAAAGAGGACAGAGGGGAAACTGAATTATGATGGAACATACATATGTTGTTCTCCGTCTTTATTATGGTAAGTAGTGGTAAAAGGCGTGGCTCAGGAGGCAAAATTAACATTTTTTCAAAAGATTGATTAAAAAGGAGCTTTTGGTTTGACCAGGTCTAATCAGTTTCAGACCAACAAACTCATAAAGTATTTCGTATTTACTGCTTAGACAGTCTTTTCCTTTGTCTACACACAAAAACAAGTTTTATTAACTAGAATTAAGGATCCGAATGGTGAACACAAAAAAGGCGTTTTTCTAAATTTTTTCACAAAACCGCAGTGTACTCACCAATCACACTTTTTCTGACAGATTTGCGTTTTAAAAAAAAAAAAAAAAAGAGGAATTTGCGGTTTTGTCCAACGGGTAATACAGTAAACCGCTGTTAGAAATAAAAAGAAGGCTTTACCCAGCGGTTTTATCAAAAACAGCACCTAACAAAATAATACATTTTTTTTTTGTTTTTTTTTAACACAAACATTGCTTTTGTGTTTGATGAGAAATGCTTTAGGTAACTTTATTAACTTGTGAGTCAAAGTCAGAAGGTATAACATCAATAATACGAATGAAAAATAAAACACACACTCTCATCGTGATTATCAAAAATTTTTTTTTTAAGTTATAAAATTATTATGAAAGTCATTCTCCTTCTTTTTGTTTGGTAGGAAAAAATATTCTCCTTCTCTAATACTCCCTCTGTTCCAAAATATAGAATTTTTGGGCTAAAAGCACGCTTATTAAGAAAAATTTTAACACAAAATAACTCATTAATTAAACACATTAAATAGAAGGGATAATCAAGAATGTTAAGAGACACATTAAATTGTGTTTTTTTTTTTCAGCAAATTAAATTGAAAGCTTTTAAATTTATGATTAAGAATTTTTAATTTATCCTACCAAAAAGAAACTGAATGTTTAATTTATGTGAATGTTTAATTTATGATTATACTAATATATATATAAATGTTTAATCACCAAAAAAATATATTTATATATATATATAAATGTTTAATTTATGATGATACTAATATATATATATATATATATATATAAATGTTTAATTTATAATTATATTAATATTATTAATATACTTTTAAAAATTATTTAACTATAATTTGTATTCCGCACCGCATTTTTTTTACCAATCAAACATTATGCTATACCGCTTATTTCTAAAAACCGAATTTGTTCCGCATACCGCACGTCCCACAGTTGAACCGTACCGCACTATAATACCGCACTTCTCCCGTACCGCAAAACGCAGTTACCATTCGGACCCTAATACTCAGCTTTTTTCTTCTTTGCAGCTATAAATAATACTACTCAGCTTTATGAGCAGATTTTGCAATAAATAAAAATGGGTAAGAATATTAAATGTAGTTACGGTGAAGGAGACAAGGAGAGCATAAAAAATACTCCCTTCGTTTTATAATATAAGTAGTTTTAGGTAAAAACACGCTGATTAAGAAGATCTACTTTTAAAAAGTTCAACCAATCATAAAAGAGACTGCATAATATAAATAATCATAAAATATTAAAGTAATATATAATTTGCATCGAAACTCGAAAACAATTTATATTGTGAAACAAAAATCTTTTTCAAAACGCCTTATATTATGAAATAGAGGGAATAAGAGTGTTAATTTGAAATTGTTTCACTATCTCTCATTTGTAATCGCATAATGGCAGAATTACGTTTTTAATGCGATTATGCAAAAAAAAAAAGCCAATCAAAAAAATTTGCATGATGGCATTAGAAAACGCAAAAACCATGAGATTTGTTTTTTCGCCTAAAAATAGAAGTAAGAACTCATTATGCAAATAAATGGGTATATAGTCGCTTATTTGCATAATAAATTTTTTTATTATTTTATCCATACAAAATATTAGCAATTAGAAAAGTAAGAAAATAATTGTTTACAATGAAATTTACACCATTTTCAAATAATATTTAAAATTTCACAATTTTTTAACAATTTTTAATATTTATTATCAAATATTACTCAAATTTTATTAAAAGATTTTTTGCTTATTGAATATAAGTATATATTAGTGATATAATATTATATTCCGACATTACACAAAATGTATCCAATCAACATACTTTTAAGTAATTTCATTCTGCAAATTTTTATTCTACAACTTATGTCATTATGCGATTATGCAATGTTACCAATCAGAGCCTTTCAAAAGAAAACAGAGAAGAAAGTGTGCCTTAGGCATTTTCTCTAACACTCAATGCTTAGCCTCATTTTACTACAGTCCACATTATTATTACTTGTGAAATTATAGCCATGTTTTGATATTTTATTATGCAGAAACACTTGCTCACTATTGCTCTGAAATATAACTATGTATAGAGAGTTATCCAAACATATTTTAACTGTATATATTGAAATCAATTACCACAGAAAAATTTGTTTAATTAAGTAACTTATTTTTCTTTATATTGTTGCCCTTCAAAAATATTTGCAAAGAATTAGGATAATTAAAAAAAGGGGGCTAAATGACTCATGCTGTCATGCATGCTCATTTGTCATTATTTCTAACAATGCTATATTTGTTTCATATAATTATAATTATTGAAAAGACAAACCCATTATGAGATATGATGATAGGGTCATAAATAATAAATATGTCTATATTTATATGAAAAGGTGCAACAAGTGACTACGAAATTCAACTATTTTGTTATAATATGATGATTGTAGAGCATTATAAGTTCACCATCATGATTATATATCAAATATGTATAAATAATAAAATTTTGAGATTCTTAGTTTCTCACACAATATTAGCATCACAAAAGCACCTCAATGAGGTTATCACCTCTTATTTAATAAAATAAAAAATAAGCAGCACAAAAAATATACATATTTTTTACTCAGACTCATGAGGAGAATCTAAAGAAAGAAACAACGTTCACTTGGAAAAAGACAGTAGACTTGAAATAAATTGTTGTTGTATACATCTTTTTGTTTTGAGTCAATGCATTTGAATGAGAACATGAATATTAACATAGGCATTAACAAACAAAAGATGTCTGTTTTTGAGACCACATAATCTAATAAGAAATATATTTGGTTTTATCTTGTGTTTAATTTGTCTACTTGTTTGTATTGGTTTGCCTTAAGCAGTTACTTATATGCTTTCGTCAATGAAATGACAAAAAACTAAATCATCTCTCTCATAGAATAGATATTAGTTACCTACCTTCACATATTCACAACATATATGCATCATTTAGGAAATTAATGTAATTCAAAATAATTTCAAAGTTAATTTTCCTATAATCAGTAATGTATTGAGTTAAACTAATTTGCACCATAGATAAATCAAAAGAAATAAAATTGATGAGATCAATGTGATATACTAGGTT